TTTCACTACAAAATGATAACTGTCTACTTTGAAGTTCCTGGTACCCAGTAAAATAACCTAAACTCTCTCAAGTACCTCGATCGTTTTATAAACACAGTTCCACGTTGGATACAAAATGTTACCCACCCTGGATCTTATTTTCGCACACAAAATTCTTCCCGTCAGCACCAGAATTGGGCCTTTACTCCCTTGTAGCGACCATAGAACGATCATGTCTTTCTCTAGCCCAGAAGCAAGTGGGTCAGCTAAAGGCCGTTACAGGACAGTAGACGTCAGAGACATTTCAAAGGCTAAGTGGGGAACGATGGTGTCATTTGTCCGTTGCCAAGACTGGGATAAGCTTTTCCCCTCAGCGGACATAGACATACTCTACCCATGAAACTGATGAATCATTAGCAAAATCCTTAGCACACGCCTCCTCATTTGGTAGGGACTACAAAACAATTAGAGAGGACTCTAGTCTTTCAGACGTGAACCGCTTAAATGGTTCCGGCCCCTAACGCTCCGACGAACTACTTACAGCTGTCGATTGCTGCGGATGGAAACAACACTCCCAGACACCCACTCGTGGTGACAACATGTTGGGTCCTGTATTGTATCATGACATAGTCCCTGTTTCTACCTATGTTGGTACCAGATTCCCCAGTAGCGATCACAGAATGGTACTCTGCTCTCTGTCTGTGTCATTTTTTATTTTAGCCTGATTCCACACAGTATTTTGGCACAACTATGGAATTTTCAGCAGGTGAAAACGATAACCCAACTGAAAAAGGTGTGAGTCGGCCGGGGATCGAACCCAAGATCATGTGCATGGTTGGCGAGCGTCCTAACCGCTGTGCCACTGATGCACTAAATACAGGAAACAAACAGGATTCAGTGGGAATGATATGCCTAGTTACACGTACACCGAACCCGCTCGACGCTGTCGGTGGGATGGCTATTTTACCAGTGACGCCCTGGAGACTACCGTACTCCCATTTTTTAAGAATGTTACATTGTATCCGGAAACCTTTGCTCCTAAGAAGACAGTAAAAATCAAATAGACACCAGGCTTAGTACATTCCAAGGGTATAATAGGCCAAGGAAGTTGTCGAAACATTAATATCCCACTATGGATATATCACTAGTTCGCTCAATCTATGAGTCACTTCGATCTACCAAGAGCTGGTGCCCTCAAAATGATCAGAGCACTTAAAAGTACCTCCAAACTTTATAATCTCTCAACACTTCTAAAAAACACCCGTGTAGTCGATAAGGGCCCCCCCCACTTACTTCACATGAAAGTTATCCACGAGAGACCTGCCACTATCTGTGAACTTTTCGGTGAGTGGTTTGCGGGCTTCAGTTTGGGAACACACATCCCTGGTGAAAACGCACTCCTGACCAGCTCCTCTCTCAGAAGCGTAGCGTAGGACAATCTGTCAAGAGCCTTAGGCCTCTAACTAGTACGTGAATGGATGGCCTTGCCTCAATAATTTTCAAAAATAGTGAGTGATATTCCCCCATTACTTCTCAAATTCTTCTCAATATCTGTGGACACTGACACACCCTGATGAGTGGGAAACTAGCATCATAACTTCATACTACAAATCTGGTGACAGGGCAAACGTTAGCACTTACAGACCCATAAACATAACCTCAGTTATCTCGCGAATCATGGAAAAAGTTGTTAAACACTCGGGGAAGATCTCGTTACAAGGTCTGAAAACAGATTTCCCAAAAATAGGCCTGCATTACTAGTCACTCCAACTTTTTCAGCTGCATCATTATTAGTCTTGAAGCACATAAACTAGTCACCGTTCTCTACTCCGATATATCTAGGGAATTTGACATGCTACCTCACAGTATTGTCTCTGAGAAGCTGTATTCATATGGAATTCGCCATCGATTACTTAACTGGCTAAAGTCATTTCTATGCAACAGGGTACAAATAACAAAAGTCGGATCCGTATTATCCAGTCTTAGGCAAATCACAAGTGTGGTTGTATGGTGTGGTATCCTAGGACCACTCCTATTTACAGCTTTCATTAATAGTATTTAAAACTGCTTCACCACTCCCATATACTTTAACATTGACAAATGAGGCTGGATTTACATTGGTGACAATAATCTCTAGCTAACACTTGAAGAGAGTGGGCGAAAAACTAGCCAAGCTCAACTCAGCAGTAGATCTCAGTATCAGATACTCTGGAAATCTAACGTTCTCGGAACCAACCAACCATAATAGACATGAAACACGTAGACTCCCAGGTTGCGCTACTCGTAGTTTCCTTTGTTACAAAACGGGGGTTTTATCATACAAAGTAAGTGTCCGAAATATTTCAGAATAGCGGACTCCGACAGAATGACAGGCTTATATTAGAAGTGCAACGGTAATTCACTTTCAGAGCTCTTAGCGTAGTGTGCGGTTCTGACTACTCAGAGGGGTGCTATAGACTGAAAATTGAGCCACGCTGGAAAGGACGGCTTAAGCGAAACCTTATTTTCCACCACAGATTAACTAATATTCTCCTGCACTCCTCCAGGCCATTAACTAAATCTGCCTATGTCACCAGTTACAATCTTGGAAATCATGTCAACATAGTTACTATAGAGCACTGCCAGGCTTGCATGCGGTCCAACTTCTCAAATAAAATTTCAGTCACTACCAGATGATGTGCGTCAAGCAAACATTTCATCCATTCACTCCTTCAGTCACCAGACTCCTCAGAGATGACAGTTCTATCCTTCGTCCGACTCCTGCAACTTCTGTCATCCCACATAGATATACACACGAGCAACAATAAACTTCATTGATAATTATTAATATTGTTGGAGGAACATAGTAAAAACTTCTACACAGGGCATAAATATTAGTTCACACATATAAAATCTAGCATAACATAATTAGTTGGTCAGTGCATCAGTAGTAATCATGGTTTCCCTACAAAGTTAGCAAATCACTTTCTGAGGACCCCATGAGCTTCTTTCCGTGCTGCTATGCTCAATCTTTTTTCCTCACTATTTTGGCCTCTATTTGACTTACCGAATGGTGATAAAGAATGTAGATATTTACAATGACAAGAGATACAAAAACATTACTGATACCAAATCTCACAACTGCCTTGAAAAATACCCATCACTCTCTTCTGCGATACATCCTGGATGACAGTTGTGGAATATCAACTTTATACCAATATGCGAATCCCAGTTGCTACTTATGCAGGGCCAATAAATCTGATAATCTAAGAAATAATGAACGTATGTTGGTGGTCTTATTTATAATCTCACTGGCTTGAGTGATGATAACATGCAGCTCCTGCATGTTCCACTTGTCATTTTTTGGATTCGTTCGCCATTATTTTGGTTCCTAGCCGCCTATGGACTGAAAATTACCTGTTGCTTCCACAATACTTATTTTTTAAGCTTAACTGCACACCTGCTGCTACCACCAACCTATTTCTCTCTCTCTCTCTCTCTATATATATATATATATATAGAGAGAGAGAGAGGTTGAGGGTATTGACGTTCACGGATAGTACGACATATACTAATACAAGGTCTTATACCCACAACTTCTATAGCACTTTTTCGCCTGGATCAGAAACGATCGAAAACGCCAGACTGAAAGTACAAAATACGTAGTATATTTCGGGACAGAATCGCAGTGCGAGGATGATTGCTTAGATAGCTGATTTCGTGTACAAACAACCGAAAATAACACGACAGAGTGCCGAATGGCGTGGATGTCCAGCCTAGAGCATTCGGCTAAGCAGTTCGACCTACGCGGTGAGGGTCAGCATCCAATGTTGAGTGCTGAATGCTCCAGGGTAATAATTTGGGGGAATCATCTACCAACTCATCTAGTCAATTATCACATTTCGTGATCTACCTTATTGTAGTTTTTCCTTCTTATTTCTATATGATCTACACTAATTACATCTGTTATTATTATTACTGTCTCTTTTTTCGACCACAGTGGACTACTAACGGGTGAAGGGATCAATTCGATTAAGAGTAGTGACACGGTACTAGCACACCACGTACAATCAATACCAGACTTTTACGCCATCTAGTCAACCAAAGCGATGAAAGTCTACCGAAGACTGGGAACCTTTAACTTGCAACTAAGAAGCGAGTACAAAGAACTCAATTTGGTTTAAATTAGCCCGTAAAATCTATTGGATATCGGATATCATTGTCTGACCTTGAAGTGTTTTAAGTTACGTCTCGGGCGCGTATCCACACCTGGTTGGATTCTGGTTGCTCATTGGAGTAGTCTTTATGGTGCACCCTACCAGACATGAGATATATACTCCGCAGGTTAGAGTTTGATTTTCGACTGTAACCATTGATTCTTTCCAGAAAACTACGTCGGTTATCAATCTACTCCGTTCCCGTGAATTAAGAGGGATTAAATGTATTGACATAAATCAAATTCCGGAATCATCATCCAGACTTCCATTTGTATGGCAAAGGCGCACACTGAATCCTGGTGACAGAAACAAAATATTTGCTTGCCAATGGATCACTAATAACCATATTGTTTATGGTACTAAATGTAACAACTTGGTACTGTATGATTGTAATTCCAATGAAAGTTTCGACATTCCTTTAATCAAATCGGAAAACCAGTATGGAAATAATTTATCCGTTATTAATTTTTTAGGGATGCGACTAGTCCTATTAACCGTTGCGCTTGTGGGATACACTCCATTCAGCTCAATACATCTAAAACTTTCCTTGCAACTGGAGGAGATAATGTTAATCATGTCGGCGTCTACAGACTAACGGAATTTTCCCCTCACTGCTTACTTTCCGTAAGTTCTTGTAAACTTTGTATACTCTTCACCTTTTAATGAATTAAACTAGGGGGGAAGTGGGCACATTAGCGCATTTTTGTGATCATTCTACATTTATTGATAACCTGGTACCAAAGCATTAAAGGCCGAGGTCGAGCATCCTGTACTTTATACTAGTAGTGAGAAGTTTGACATAGATTTATAAATATTTTTGAGAATCAGAACTGAAAGGTCAAGATACGTTAAAGTTACGTTGTCAGTCTAGCTTAGACAATATCAAATGCCGAGCAAAGTTTACGGCGATTTCACATTATCCACTGTAATTTTCTTGCTGAGATTTATCATCTGGCTCGCTTGAGTCAGTAAGATTTAGTGATTCATGTTTGGTAAGTTAACTGACAGCAAGCAGTTTTAAAACATGTGATGCAGATTTGACAATCTAGGATCTGTGTGGGTTGTTTAAATCTTCTGTAGGAAAAGAGGAAAAACACAACTAAACTTCAGTTTACTGGTAATCAGATTTTAAGTAGTTAGGGGTAGAATTTCTTGCTTTGCCTCCTTACAGAATGTTGGATAATGAGCACATTTCTCTACTCATTTCCAAAATCACTATGTTAACCCAAGGAGATGAAGTCAAAACATTGCACAAAAGCTCCCCAGTTTAGATCATTATATTTCGCAACAAAAACAAAGAGTCGTGAGTCGCAACACGTTGAGACATATGTAAATGTGTGAACAAATAAGTCAACCACTAGTTCTCAGTAAGGAGGACCCCAGACAGACTTCACAACTGCATATAGCTCACTTATACGACCATCAGCTTCGTGTATTACCTCTCACATGTCCAATCATACTTCCGAATCTGGGAGTTGCTTGCGTGATAAAACTACCGGTTGCAGGCAACTATGATGAAACACTGAGCAACCGCAGACCCTCACATTGGGGGAGGGCGGGTAATGTTTCGTAGACGTGAGGCAAGACGACGCACAACGAACCATTGTAAGTCTGGTCTTTAACGACCAGGCCGAATCTCGACAACTCCAGAGGTGGACTAGATTGACTTATGCCCTTCTGGTACTCACCGTACGGCTGGAGGTTTCATTCTCATCCATCTCACCTACAGTACCACAGACACAATGCTACCTCTAACGGTTCATCTGCAAAAGGTAAGTTCAGGTACAGACTCCAGCCAATCTTGCAAAGACATTATTTTTGCACAGCAAAACTCTCATCTTACTGCATACTCAGGGGCGAATCGTCTCCGTAGGCAGCAGATCGATACCATTACCACCGTATATTTTCTGTCTGCAAAATATCGCAGACGTTAAAGACAGACAGAAACCAACCTTGTCTAGCCCCATTATCCGTTGAAAACAGTGGTGATAGGTAGTGTATGCCTTCACTGTTACTTAAGTGTTTTTGTATGGGGTTCTCAGGATGTTGATAAGTTTCTCATTAACATCTTTCTTGTAAATGATCCTAGAGAGAGGTTCTGTCCTAAGAATCAAAGGCAGCACTACTATCAAGAAATGGGGCTATTGCTGCCATTCAATGTGTAACACTTCTAGCAACTGACAAAAAGTAGACATATGATTACTTCATCCACAACCTGACTGAAACTCAGACTACTCTTCGCGAATCACTTTCTCATACATTGTACAAAGCCAGCAGAACGTCACAGCAGACAGTATCTTAGACCTAGCTGATAACAGACTAATTCCCCCATTATGGTCACGTGAATTATGTAGGTTCTTTTCTATGTTTAGGTGGGGCAATAGCTTCATTCCACAATAGTGGGACATTCTACTGTCCCTATACCTCCCTGAATAATTCTGTCAGATCCTTAAACAGTTTATCATCACTAACTTTAAAAAGAGCCGGGGGCAAGTTGTGTGTCCGGGCGTCTTAAGCCTGTTTGATACTTGAATTTCTTCTTGGATCTCTCCTTTGTTACATGCATCAGCATTCACTGAAGACAAAGAACTATGAGCTAAAGGGAATTGTTTTTTTGAAATGCTCTGACTAACGTCTCAGGTTGTTAATCAGCTCAATATCTGCAGCACAGCATTCCTCTGGCACCGTGCTCATCGTCCTAGATGAGTACTTTTCCGGACTTCATATGACTAGGAGATAGTTGTTGTAATTGTAATCATTAGGTTGGCGTTGAGCTAACTCATCCGCGAATATTGCACTTTTAGACCTAATTAACTGAAATTTGTCAGCAATATCTATAAGTGTAAGTCCCATCTACACAGTTTCGCTTATGCATCTGCGCATACTCTTCATTGCTGCCAGACCCATGACTTAGTCAACACACAGTTCATTCCATTAACTTGTATACGGTTACCTTTCTATTACTACTTTATATGATATACGTTTAAAAAGTTTTTGCTTTCTTTGTTTTAATGTGATTCTCAGTACATTTTACTTTCTAACTTTTAGGATTGTCACAAGGATTGGGTTTTTGATTTGCGGTGGCTAGATGATACTTGTCTAGCTTCATGTTCACGTGATTCATCACTGGCTCTATGGCGTATTCCATCTTCCGATGAAAATGTGTCAGGAAGGGTTAACAACAGTATACACAAAAACACTGGAGTGAAATCTGGTACTTCTGTATTGCATATCAAAAGTCCAGTTGCATATGCTAAGTCATCCTTGTCAGACGATCGTTTCCGTGCATTGGAATACCTCCCTACGCAGACTAATTTGGCAGTTGTATCTATGTCGCGCCGTTTATACCTTTATGACGCTGTCCGTATGGGTTTAGATAAACATACACGTCCTATTTATACTTTGGTTCTTAGAAATGCATATCCGGTTAGTTTTGTTTTCATTTAGAATAAAGCTATTAAATTATCTATGGTATGAGGTAAAAAATGTTGCTCAGCAGCCACCTGCACTTACAGTTGGTGGCGAGCAACACTTATTGCATAAACATGTGATACTACCTTTTTGCTAAAATCTCAGTAGGCAGAGTGAAGTTTGAATGTGTAAAGCAGTGATTTTTTAAACTGAATTCCTAAACCAGTATATAGCGATCAAATTAAAACTTGCGTCCTACGTTATAAAGTAGTATAGTTAGTCTAAGTTGCCTGCACATTTCCGGCTTATATAATCAATCGATGGTTGCCGACATAACATTGTGCATTTTGTGGATAACTCAGTGGAAATGTAGCTGACTGGCTAAACCATTCTACTTTCAGTTAGTCAGTCATTCTGGGGTTCGAATTCCACTCCACCTACTTCAACCAACACAACTGGGTATTACCACCAGTCCTCAATTAGTAAATATAGCTCACAGACGGGTTCATAGGGAAATTTGTTGTGAATAACTGAAATCTAATGTATGAGACGATGTATACCCCCAAAGTGGTCAGGATATTTGTTAGTTTCCATCAACAGCTCGGTTGCATTGTTTTACAGTTGAGTTAAAAATGAGACATATGAACATTAATGCAGCAGTATGTGAATTGATATTGGCAATCACAACAGGCTTATAAATACATCAAGACCTAATTGATTTAAGCTGTTTCAGGCGTGACTGTCTGTCAGGTAATTTGACAAAACCTTCAGCGTGTATAGCATAGTTCTTCTTGTCTATATATGTCTATAAGTCGCTCCATGTGACTTATAATACCCAATAAAACTATATTTTTCTTCGATATTACTATTCTTTTTGCCTCATATCTCTGTTTACTTCCTCTGTTCTGCATTTCTTTTTACTTTCTTCCCTTGCTTTGTTTACTATATGGAGGGAGTGTGACGACTCGAACTGCTGCACATCAGTGCAAATTTCTATGTTGGAATCAGTCAGTCAACCATATATCAAATAAGGTCGGTGAAGGCCTTCTTATGACTATAAAGACCAGAAATGGTGAAATATTGATATAAGTATAAAACTTAGGCACTGCGGTAGAGTATGACTCCATTATGGATAAGATTTTATTTTTATAAATCACACAGTGTTGTACAGTTACATTAACTGATGACGTTTCGAGCACAAACTATTGCCACTCGTAATCATATCAAGGCACTACTCACACAACTGTTTTTCTTCATTTATATACATGTGTGGAATCGATTAGATATTGGATTAAAAATCAGTATGAGATAATGTCCATTCAGAAATAATAATACGAGTGTTATTGATCAATAAGACGAGTGTTTTTAGTCATACTAAGCTACTTGTTAGAATGTTGTGATGTGTTTGAATTGAGATAGAATTTTAAGATTATCTATTATTCTCTTCTGATTTGACCGGTGGTAATAATGTCTTCCATATTTTTGGTATTTGTATTGAGTTATTTCTGTTGCATGTGTTAGGTGTAGACTCAATGAACCAGGATTCAGTAATCAATCTCTCTTGCTCTCTCCACCTACATAGATTACTTCTTAAAATCTTAACCCTCTCCCACCCTATTGTGTGGTTGTCTGTTAATGCATGCAGTGCAAATGCTGAGCTTTTTTCTAAATTATTCATCTTCTCGGGATCAACCATTCTTACATTAGCTAAATTCTTATGTTGCGACAATCTGATTACCACCGATCTACTAGTTTTGACCTATATAGCATGCATTCATTTTCAATAGTTGGTTTGTAAGGATTAGATTTGTTTTGAGACAAGTTTGACCGCGCACGGATTGATATCAGCTAAAGAACCATTGAAAACCAGGACAGGAGTACTGGATAGCTGTTTGGGAATCATCGGCAGTATATTAATCAATCAAAATATTTCCTAACTGCCTCTTTTGATGAGTCAGTTGGCAATCCTGTTTCATAAAAACTGGCATTTGTTACTTTTATATACATATATATTAACTCTGTTTTGAAATTCAGGTTTCTTAAGTTAGACATACTGGATCATCTACTGATATCTGATAACAAGTATTATCGACATAGGTCAAAACTGCTCTACACCAACCGAAGTTGCAAGTGGGAAGTAATATAAGCGAGAACAATAAGAGTAAATTTATTTTCAAAGGTCTTAACATGATATTAAAAAATACGGAAAACATAGGTATGTTGTGATATCTGCTCTGGAAATCTTTGCCACTCAGCATCAACAACAAAATTCGGTCGGATTTTCAATACAATCACGTCAAGTCAGTCAGTTCTTCTATACGGATCGGAAACTTGGCGGGCGGATCACAAAGAATATTTCCAACAACCTGTTGCAGACCTTTATCAACAACTGTGCTGTCTTCACTGGCTCTATATACTGAAGATCAGATGACCGGGTCTGAAAGAATCACCAACAAGAAACTGTGGGAACAAACAAAACAAGAACCAATCGCCAACCAACAAATATGGAGGAAAAAGTAGAGATGGATTGGACACTCGCTAAGGAAGCCGTTGGGTGACATCTCGCGAGCGTCAGGCTGTTGGTCGAGTGGAACCAGGCCGAAAGGGAAGGGGCGAGTGGGACGTCAGTGCAAGGATGACATGGAGGAGATCGTGTGAAGAGGAGTTGAAACACTATGGACTAACTAATATGGATGCAGGTGAAAAGTACACCAGAAGACAGAAGCAAGTGGAGACGTGTAGTTGAAGCCCTATGTTCCACTAGGAACCCAAAGGAACAATAATAATGATATTTGCTCCAGAGATGGATTTCAGGCAGAGTTTCTCATCATAACTACTATCTCCTCACCTATTGCTCTACATGAAAAGCGGTTAGTGCTCATTACCATTGACTAGTATTTGAAAAATGTCTTTCAAATACCAGTTGGTAGGCTGTGAGTAGTCTGCTTATTTATACAACCTAATAGCGTTCAGTGTATGCCGATGCTCGATGCTTTCAGATAACAAGTAAAACACCAGAGAAGGTACCATAAAAGTCCAACTATGGAAGCTAAGATACTTCTGAACACTACAGAAATAGAAAGCCAACAAAAAGAGATATGAACTATTAGGAAATTAACATGTATAAAAAAACGTAAATCATGACTTTATTTCCAGTATTTGAATGGTAACAGTTGAGACGGAGTGTTTGGTGGCACAGTGGTAGGATGCTCGCCAGCCATGCAGTGAGTCCGGGGTTTGATCCTCGGCCGGCGCCGCACTCCTTTATCTCGCTAACGCGGTAGAAGGACTGGCAACGAGGGAAGGTTGTGCATGTGGTGGCTAGCCACTCCATCCCGTAAAAATAATCACCACTGCTGCAGAAACTTCAAGCCTGTAACTTGAAGCCCTATGTTCCGCTGGGAACGTAAATGAATAAAAAAGTTAAGGCATATATGAATATTGACTTGTTAGATCTGGAAAGTCACTCTATCTAGTACGAGATCCTAAAACCGAGGAGCTGCTAACTTCAGTTGTCAAGTTAGCTTCAGCAGACAAGAAATGGTGTTTTCTTGGTGGATCACCACGCTACTCTTCTAGATATTTCTGCGTTTTATTTTGGTGCTGCTAGCATTTTTAGAAGCATCACACACTACGTCTTTAGAATCGCTAGTTATATTTTTTTGTTATCATAACTTTGTATCATTAAAGATAATTTTCATGTTTGCTATTTATTTCTTCTTTTGTGGTCTTAAAAAATACATTTCAGGAAGCTGTCGCCCTCCGCCGTTGGCCATCTGAACCTAATTGTATAGCACTAGCAACTCATCACTGTGTGCTTTTATTTGATATTCGTTGTTCTACTACCAAAATCGGATCTGAAGCACGTTGTATTCTTCCGCCTTTAGATGTAGCTGGCGTTCGCTCACTTAATTTTTCTAAATCAATTTTATCCTACGGGACATCTAGTGGTCGAGTGCATTTCTATGATCTTAGAAATGATCATCACCTTCCAAAACAATTAGACATTGGTCCTGGTTGGGTAAAACCTCAAAATTGTGATGATTATGAAATACCGGCTGTAGCTTCTTTGTTAAACTCACTATCTAGACCTGTAGCATCACAATCTCAAACAACTACTACTGGTTGGAATGTGCCTTCTCCACCGCCGTCTCCTGCTCATCCTGTCCTAATCACAAGTTCATCAAATATAGTTCGTCCTATACAACCACAACACCAGCAGCAATCTCAAAGTGAAGCTTTTGCTACTCAAGTGACTAATTTACATCTACGTCTAAATAGAATTAATAATCGTATATTAAATTTACATAGTCGACATAGAGCTTTAAGTATGTATCCAATTATGAATCGGTCAACGTCTAGAAGATCAAATAATACGCATAATCGAAATGGTATAATTCGGCAAAATTCTATTACCACAACAACAACTACTACTTCTGCGGAAGATGTCGCCACTTCTTCATTATCTGAATCTAATTTCCCAGATGTTGATGATGATAATAATAACAATGATGACGATGATAATGATGATGACGGCAACGATGGTGGTGGTGACGCTGATGGTGATGACACTCATCCTGCAACAAATAATGACACGGCCATTGTAAATCCTGTAGATATAAATAACAATGATATCAATGTATTATCATCTGGGGGTGGTCGTGGTCGCGGTGGTGGTGAATCCCGTCGTATCACTTTAGGAATGAACTTTTTCGCTGATTTAAATTTTGATCTTTTCTCATTTCCTACAATATTTAATCAACGTCGTATGTTAGCTGTTTACACGCATGAATATGATCCTTCAGGTACACGTTTATTTACTGCAGGTGGTCCGATAGCTTCTACTTTCCATGGAAATGTTGCTGCTCTATGGGAATGATGAAAAGTAGGAGTGTGTATTATTATTATTATTCACCACCTTCACCAACAGTCTTTCTCTCTATATATGTGTGTGTGCGTGTGTGCATGTTTACACCTAGAACACTATTCTGCAGAGTATAACTTTTTATTCAAATAATTATTGTTGTGGTTTGTTTTGTGTGTGTGTGTGTTGCCAGAGTTACTTCCTCCTCCTTCTTCTCTTTCTTTCTTACTTTTTTGGGTGGGAAAGTGTTGTTTGTTACTTGTCACCTGCTGATTTGTCTGATTTCTTTTTGCACTTGCAGAATTCTTATTTATACTTTTATTTTGCAGATAGATGTGTGCATATTTCTCTACTACTTGTCCTAATTCCTTTATCTGACATGATTTCACATTCTGACGTTTCTTTTTCTTGAATTATTTTGTCTATTTCGTAACTAATTTACAAATTCTTTTCTTATATTGTATTGACCTGCAGGCTGGCTTTATCATAACTTATTATTATTATTTTATTACCATTATTTATTGAGTCGGTTGAACTTATATAAAATGACCAGCGGATCTCATTCATCCACTACCGTAATCGTTACAAGATTATTACGGCACTCTGACCAAATTTATAGTTAAACCAGTCCACTTGATGAAGTGTGGGTGTGTATATTTTCGATTACTATTGTGTGAAATCCTCTATATTTTTTAGTGTCCATGATAAACGGGTTTTTCAAGCAAATAAAAACCAAATAGTTTACTAAATATTCCTTTCCTAGACACCTTGTCTGTCCACTAGGCTTTTCCGCCTCTATACTCATATGCACAAACCACAGACAGAGAGACAAAGAGAGAATATGGTTTTAGAGGTGTTGTTGTCGTTTTTTCTTTCTTTCCTTCTTTCTTGTATAATATGTACATACGACTTCTTTTTTCGATTATTAGTAAAATAAATAAAAGCGTAATTTTCCCTGTTTCTTTTATACTTTTGATTTTCAGTTTTTAAAAAAAACTGCTGCCTGTCTATTACTATTGTCATCATCGTTGTCTGTGAGTGATTTTTGTTTATATATAAAACGTTAGTCTATGTTTTGTACAAACTGTGTGAGTGAAATGTGGTTGGTGTAGCGTGTTAACCACTTCACGCCAACTGGTTGATTGCTGACGCAATCTCAAGAGGGATTCGTTTGCCAACTTATGCAATCTCTGACTTAGTAGACGTGATATCCAGCTGGCTGGCTGTCGAACAAAGGACGTGTGTTACTGCTCAGCAGTTCCCTCTGTCCTCGTTTATGACTGTGAGACATGGCCTGCATTGGAAGTAAAAGACATGAAAGGACTGACAAGCCAGTTGTCTTTGATCATAGGTGTCTGCGTTCTATCTGCCCTGTTAGGCGGTGGTATAATAAAGTGAGCAATATTTTGGGGTAAGGAGGGGAAATCAATCAACAAGGTTGTGAAGTTACATGGATTGAGAGAGCGATGTTTAGGACATGTGTTACGCATGCTCAGTCTAGCCATAAATTGCCTTCCTCGATAACGGGAAATGTTAGCTGAATGACTGACTGACGAAGGATGGATCAGGTTGAGGGGAGAGTTAGATAGTGGTGGTCAGACGAAAAAATGGCTTCATCAGTCAGTGAAATAGATCGACAACAGTTAGTTTATTGCTATTGCAACCAGCCACGTAAGAAGGAAGGTGTAAACTTCCTGACTGACTGGTTGGGGTCCTCGAAATGGTAAGAACCAATGAAGGTAGGTGGCTAGATGCGATTGGTGATATGGTTCAAAATCGTCGTTGTCAATGGTTGGCGCAGATACATCCACTCGTCATTTTTCAGTCATATCCAATAAAACTATTGTTCTTCCATATTACTACTCTTTTTGCCTCATATTAAGGTTTATTATCTCTCTCTCTCTCTATTGAACCTATCTTTACTCTCTCTCCTCTTGCTTTGTGTGCTACACGGTGGGGTGGGGGTGGAGAGTGTGGCAACTGGAACTGCTACACATCTGTGCAAAGTTATACGTTGAAACCAGTCAGTAGTAGTTGGTCAGCAACAGACATTACCCTCGAGTGGAACGTGAATGGGAAACGACTAGTCGGGCGTGGAGGAGAAGATGAGAGCCTATGCGTGTAATTGTGGAGCCAACTGAAGTTGAATGTAGTGAATAGGATAAAATGGAGAGATGTGTTGCTTGAAGCCTCATGTTCCATTCGGGACTTAAGAGAATAATAACTATATGTGGAAAGGATGGGAAAATCGTTGTGTCTAGTTAACCGACACATATAATAATGACCTGACCTATCAAAACCAGTTGATTTAGTGACTGACTGACTGACGAAATTTTGATATATCCAACGCGTTGGATGAACACTCACGAGATGTCATCGCTTGTAGAATATTTTAATGGTAGGGAACACTTGTTCCTGGGAATGTTAATCTTTGTGCAGAAGAAGTGTACTGTTTAATTCATCATCATATCCTGTCAGTTGGTCAATATCTAACTCACTAGTGATTTGGATACGACATTGCCCACTTAGTATCTATGGTGATATTGGCTTTAGGAAATGTACCGAGTAGCAGTCACTAAGGTGATCTTTAATCATTTATTGATATGTATATGTTTTCATTACGTTAACGCATGTGTGGTGTGTGCGGGTATGAGAGCTGGAAATGATAACCGGTAGTGAGTATTTTCAGTTTTTTCATGTCCATCTCTATAGTTACTGGTAAAAAAGAGTTGACTACGTCCCCTGAATTCTGCAGGGCTTATTTTGCTATCAAAGACGCTTTAGAACTTTGTAGCCTGTAACACTAAATACTTCGTTACAAAATTTCATCATGATTTGACGTCGGTCAGAGAACCATTTGAAAACTACCACTGGAGTTACTAAACATCCAGCTGTTACGTCGGCGTAGTTTGGGACTCATCGACAGTATACACCCATTACCGGCGTTCTAACCCAGGACCTCTCGGTTACAAGGCAAGCTTATATACCATTCAACCACTGTGACCCGATCCAATGATTTTGTGTTTGAACTCCCAGTTGGGGTGCCTACTGATGAAAAGTCCCAAACTAGGCTGAAGAAACAACTGGATGTCCAGTACTCTCCAGAGTGTTGGTTTCCCATTTATTCTCTAACGGATGTGTCAGTTCATGATGAAATCCTATAACCAATCAATCAAATCCCTACTAACGAATACTTCGAAAGTTTCACTTTACAGTTATGGAGGAAATTAGGTCTACCTTAATGGACTGAATGCTGACGGAATCTCGACATAGATACGAAAGGTTAGTGTGGAATCGACTAAACTGCATCATCCGTCGCGCAGATGGGATGTCCGGCTGTCGATCAAGAGGCGTTTGTACTGCACAGTAGCTCGCCTTGCTATGATTTATGACTACGAGACGTAACCGCTGAAGTCGGAGACATGAAGAGACTAGTTGTCTTTGAACACAGGTGTTTCAGTCCCATCTCCTGCATTAAGCGGTACAGTATGGCGATTAGTATTAAGGTGAGCTATAGTGTATTGGGTAAGGTGGGAAAAATCATTCACTCATTTGAAGCTAAGGTGGCTAGGACATGTGTTACGCGTACCGAGCCATCACCTTCCTAGTTGAACAATTTCAGCTGACATAGCATTAGGTTGGCGTCAAAGCGAAACCCGACATCAGTCCACCAAACCGTTGATGAGGTTGATTTTCAAGTGTTAGTTTGTTGGGATTTGATTTATTTCATGTCTGACCACGTACCGATATCAGTTTGGGGAACATTAGAAAATCTGGGAGTACTGGACAGCTGTTTCGTCCTTGGTTGGGGACTCATATGTGGTGCGCACCCGCTGGGTTTCGAACCCAGGACCTTCAGGTTAGAGTTAACTGCTATCATATCGTTATCTGGTTTATAAACTTCATTTCCACCGAAAAACCAGATATTAATTTAGAGAAAGACTTTTTACTCAGAAGTTAGATGCTTCTTGACACCCTTGGCAATAAGTCTCACCTGTGCAAATATCGGTAGACAGAGGAGCAGTTAGGCTTCTGACCTGGTTTGAAAGTTTCAGAGTAGTAAAACTAACCACTGTCAACCTCGAGATGCAGAATTAATGCCTCCGTTCACACTGTTTTTAGTTTCGATAACCTATAGTGGCAGCTGTAAAACTAATTTGATTACTCGCCTTACGCTGGAAGTGCGGCCCATAGGCTTAAGCAGTCTGTCTTAGCTGGCGCGTCATGGGTTTGAGGTCGCACTACACCTTCATTCTGGGTATGAATGTAGCTCAGTCTGGTACATGGGGAGTCTGTTCCGGGTATTTGGGTCCAAAGAACATGAGTTACACTGAGGCTGTTATATACCAGTCATTGTGAAAGTTCTCGTAACAAGATGATTATAATAAGTACGGGAAGCGTACAGGTTGACAGCAAAGATGTTGGCTAGTTTGGCATTATAGTGTAGTATCCATAGGTCACAAGTGGGGGTGGATTCTAGGCGTTTCGCTAGAAAACATCACATTCTTTTGACCATGACTGTGGATATTTCCTTGTGTAGAATTTGGTCTAATAGATCGTGTATTTTAAGTCATCTACAACAGAAACGCTAAATAGCCATTGGCAAGTTCCAAATAACAGTGATGCAGTCTTTGGTATATCCAACCACCAACTCAAAGTATTTCACCGCTTGGGAGCAGGAGCTCCACTGATGTGTTAGAAAACAGCTTAGTGTGTTGAATGAGTGAGGATGATATATCTTTAAAGGGGATGCTGAAGCCAAGCTGTAGTCTGTTCATTAGACTTCTGGATAATTCTAGCCGATAAATGAAATCCACAGGCCTTGGACTGATATATCAAAGACTTCAGCTTAATCGTCTCATTATTCTGTGAGTGTGTATTATCGTTCTAATCCATTAGCAGCTTTGTTTAGTGGTAATGCGTCTTGAACAGTGTTCGACTGTCACTGACCAAACTGCTGACAGAGTGTTTAGATTGTTTCATCAGATATCTCACCGCGTGGAGACATGGATAGTTAGGTTAAATACTCAACTTCCAGTCAATGGGTTCCAGGTTTTAGTATCACTTCATCAACTTCAGCCTGGACAACTGAGTTGGTGGTATCATCAGCTTACACACACACACAACAAATGTGGCTACTGAGTAACTGAATTCGAACTAACTCTACCACATGTGGATGTTTTTTTTCCTTCACGTTCCCAGTGGAACATACGGCCTCAAGCTAGTGGCTTGAAGTTTATTTAGCAGTGTTTAATTTTACAGGATGGGATTGCTAGCCTCATGCCCAACCTTTCCTCTTTACCAGCATTATTTCTGACTTAGCGAGGTAAAGGAGTGCGGCGTTGGCCGGGGATCGGACCCCGTACCATGTGTATGGTTGGCGAGCGTCCTAACCGCTGTGCCACCGACGCTCCACCACATGTGGATACTTTAATATAATTTGATTACTTATCCCCACTTAATATCCCATGTATTTTTGAAACCAAATATCTAAATTTCTACTCTAATCTGGGTTATGCATAAACTCCGCAGTTGTTAATCTCAATGTTGTGAATACCAGAGAATGAATCGGAGATGACAGCAACTCTGTCAATTCTCACCTACTTAAATATAACTATTTCCCAACTTTCTATAACCATTTTTTATATTCCTATGACCGACTGACTGACTTCAACATAGAACTTTGCACAGATGTTCAGCAGTTCGAGTCACCACACTTCACTTAGGACACAAAGCAAGAGAAGAAAGTAAAAAGAAATTTAAAACAGATATATGAGGCAAAAAGAATAGTAATGTCGAAGAATAATATAGTTATATTGGATATTATAAGTCACAAGGAGTGAATGCATCCACACCAGCTATTGAGAACGACGATTTTGAGCCATATCACCAATTGTGTTCAGCCATTGGTTTTTACCATCCCGAACACCCCAACCAGTCAGGAAGTCTACACCTCCGTACATGACTGGCTGACTTAAATTAACCGTTGTGGACTTATTTCATTGACTGATCATGCCATGTTTTCGTTTGACCACCACTACTACTGGCTTCTTTCCAACCTGATCCATCCTATGACAGTCAGCTAACATTATCCGTTATCGAAGAAGGCGATCGATGGCTAGACTGGGCATGCGTAACACATGCCCTAACCATCGCTCTCTCAATCCATGTAACTTCACAACCTTGTTGATTGATTTCCCCCCTTCACCTGGTACTCGACAGACGCCTAACCTCAATATCGTTAACCCTATTTTATACCGTCACCTAACATGGGAGATAGAACCCAGACACCTGTGATCAAAAACCACTGGCCTTTTCATGTTTTCCCCTTTCAATGGCCATATCTCACAGCCACATAGAAGGACGGGGTGGTCGATAGTCAGTCGTAGCTCCGCAGAAACATGATTTAATATAATTATTTCCTTGGTTTCCGAATGGAATACAGGGCTTCAACAACACATCTCCACTCTCTTGTGTTCTCTGCTGTCCTCTTCATCTGGCTGAGGTCACGACTGGCCATAATCTCTCATCTCGCCACACGGTCTCCTCCATGTCGCCATCTCACTGACCACCCACTTCGTCGCTTCCCATTGTGGTTCCACTCAAGCAATGGGCCTACATTACATGCGATGTCATTCGACTAACGGCCTCCTCAGTGGCGTGTGTGCCCCATCAATCCATCCTCATTTCCTCCTACACATATTTGTTGAGCGATTGGCTCCTGGTTGGTTTGTTCATCGCTACAGTTTCTTCTTGCTAATTCTTTCTGGCCATCCAGCCATTTGATATTGAGTATGGAGCCAGCCAACCAGCGAAGTGGGCAGCTGTTGATAAAAGTCTTCACTAGCCTGTCGCAAAGGATTTTCCTAACTAACTCACACGCAGTGCAAGTTTCTCACCCGCATAGAAGAACTCACTGACTTACTGATTGACTTGACATTTGTGTTGAATAGAATCTCCGAATCTTGTTCTTTATGCTGCCTGGCTGACTGAGTGAGTGTGTGAAGCAGAAGATTTGCAAAGTGGTTACCTGTTGATGAAAACATTGCAATCTTGCCTTTCCCATTCTTGATTTTTTTGATTTACAGCTTGATTCCACACCGTATTTTTGGTACAAGTATGGAATTTTCAGCATGGATATCGGTAGCCCAAATTTTGCAGGCCGACCATAGATATCAGGTGTGCGCCGGCGTGGGCTCGAACCCCGGACCATGTGCATGGTCGGCGAGAGTCCTAACCACTGTGCCACCGACTTTGACGTCCCCACTCTTATTTATGCTTTCATCGAATAAAAGACGAATGAATACAACTTATTCTTCACTCGAATCGGAGAGGTGAAAGGACGCGGGCTGGTGAAAGCCGGCCTTCGGGGAGCCAGTCAGCCGATGCATTTTCATAATTTCAAACGGGATTAAATGTTTCTCCAGTTTTAATTGACTGTCATCAAGTTTACTTTGTATAAATTTAACCTAACTTTGAGTATAATTTCATTTGACAGCCTATTTTACCAAAGTGACTGACGACTGGTCATTATTATTGTTGCTGAGAAGAAATGCCGAATTACAACCGGCCACCATTTATAAAACCAATGCCGCCATCGTATATGAATGCTTCAATGCATCCATCTACAAGGCAAAGGAGGCCTACATCACTGTTACCTAGTCGTTATTCTCGTTGCCCTCCTCCACCGCCTCCTCCTCGTCCACCTCATTGTCCTACATGGAATACAAACATACCACCTCAGTACTATCCACCAACAGGATCAACACCCCCGCATATGCATAGAGGCGGTGGCGGCGGCGGCCCATCATCACAAACACGACCGGCATACCAACAACGACAACATTCATTATTACAGCACAGATTATCATCGGATTGGTCAATGCTTAGACAGTGTCCACCTAGTCAATATCCTGAATATCATCATATACAGCAGCAACAACAACAACAACAGCACCACCACCAACAACAACAACAGCAGGAGCTGAAGCAAGTATTCACCTATGAACTTGATCAAAACATGATTGAATCAATTTTCAACTCCTGGTTAAATTATTATGAACCAATATTTATTGAAAGAAGGCGACATTCTAAGGAGGTGAATAGTATAGAAATACCAATGTATAGAAATATGTTAATTAAATGGTCAGAATTAATCAATAGTGCTCAGACAATTGATGAACATACTACTGAGGACTCCCCTACATCTTCGTCTTTATCATCATTACAAGTGAGTTGTGTTATTGTCTTCTTTGCTTTTGTTTTTGACTATATATGTACTCCTGACCAGTGGATAGAGAGGGTGGGAGTCTATCATGTCAAGATTAAGTGAATCCTAATCAAAGGCTATTAGTTGACTGGTAGTGGAGCTGTACAGCTCTATATCACAAATTAAAAGGTGTGCAAGCTTGTCTTGTAATCGGAAGGTAGGTGCTGTTATGTACTCGTCGCTGAATTATTGTTATGGACTGGTCGAGAAACTAATAGTCCTGACGCGAGAAGGCGGAAATCAGAAGACCACTAGGTTTGCGATGATACTTCTATTGTCCAAACACAAGGAGACGAAAATAAAAGGTCTCACACCAAAGTGGTAAGTAAGTAAAGTAGTTGTAAAGTAGTTCACACAAATTGTGAATGCGAATATATATAAATAATTTAGACAAGCGTGGGAAAAATCATTAGACAGTCTTAACATGAGTGGCTAATTATAATGGAGTGTCGATCCAATTATACATAGCGAATATAGCAGACATGCCAACAAACATATATGGATATATGTCACCAAGCAACGGACTGTCAACAAACACTCATATTATATATAATATAATATAAGGAGAATACACATTATTAAAGGAGACAAGTCCATACAAGTGAAGTGGTCACAGACTAACCGAGCAAACAGAAAGAGAGACCAACATGCACATATATATATATATATATATATATATATATATATATATATATATATATATATATATATATATATATGGATACATATCAGGTGCCTACTGTCGATGATTACCAAACTAGGCTGATGAAACAGCTGTCTGTCTAGTACTCGCTGTGGCTGGTTTTCAATGGTTCTCTAACTGATGATGTCAATCCGTGCGTGGTCAAACTCGTCTCAAAATAAATCTAATCCTTACAAATCAACTATTGAAAATTAATCTGATACTCGCTAGTGACTGACTCACTGGCTGCAGGATAGAGTTTTCTGAAGTCAGTTCTAGTGAGAAGTCGTGACTAGTGAGGCCCATCCAGTCAAGTGTGAGAATGGATGCCCCACACTCATGATATTGGTTGGTGGTCGTGATAAATCATCAGTTGATAGAACTCAGAACCTATGGGATAGTCACTGATTTAGGTCCCAGTGGTTAAATGGTATACAAGCTAGCTTGTCTTGTAACCGGAAGGTCCTGGGTTCGAATTCTGTCGGTGGGTGCGTACTGCCGATGATTCCCAAAACTAGGATGAAGCAGCAGCTGTCTAGAACTCCCTGGTTTTCAATGGTTCTCTAACTGATATCAATCCTCCGTGATCAACTCGTAAAAACAAATCTAACCCTTACAAATAAACTATTGAAAAGAAATGGTTACAACAAGTGGATTGCATAATGCATAATTTTGGAAAAATGAATAATTAGGGAATAAGTGAATGCACAAATCGATTACGCAACAGTTTGCTAAAGAAAAATAAAAACATTTGGACAATGGTAACTTTTAATAATAATAAGCTTTATTCCAAAACAGCATTTGCGATACAGAATGGAATTCTCACCATTTTACTACAGATTAAGGGTAATCTCAGTTAGTTTTGACAACAACATATTGGCATGTTGGTAGCAAAGCCAAAATTGAACAGAGTGTTTGAAGGTGTTAGAAAAGTAGATGCTGGCATATGTACTGGTTTAAGCAGAAGAAAGAAACAAAGCAGCACATAACAGAAAAAAGAGAGAGAAAAGGAAAAGAAAGAAAGAAAACGTTGTACCTATTAAAGATACGAATTGGAAAGACGAGATCCAGTTGTTCTACTGACTATTTAATAAGTTATAGGTATCACGCCTAATGCTTTCTTTAACGCACAGAACACGGGCTAAGTAGGGTATGGTTGAGTTTTGTACTTGCTAGTGCGAGCATATAGTTTTCTATATAGGCTTCTGGTTCTGCCTGTCTGATGAGATACAAGGGGAGAGTTGTGAATGAAGAGGGTGTTGTGAGTTAGATAGAATGGATTTAGCCCATTTTTCACATGAGTCCATCTGCCTGTCAACCAGAATATTAACTTGTAATTAAAGATGAAGTAGTCATAAGAGTAAAATAATTTAGATAATTTCGTACATTTGGTTCCCTTGATAAATTTCGATAGAGAAAGAAAGACCAGATTTGCAGGATAAAATGATAAGAACCTGTGAAATAGAATGATGATATCATTTTATATTGCAAATCTGGTCTTTCTTTCTCTATCGAAATTTAGACAATTATAACTTTTGAAAGGTTTCGGGGGTGGGGGTGTAGGGGGAAGTAGTCGGGTTTATACACTCATGTAACGATGGTCAGGGTGTAAGGGAAGTGACTGTACAAATTTCTCATGAACATAGAGGTTTGACTTCTTCTTCAGGTGGATTTCTATAGCTTCAACTGTAGGTATGTAAAAGACGAACTCGTAAAGTAAAATTAAGATTAGTAGAAATGTGATAAATAATTTTAAATGTTGTATTAACGTCAACCTTATGTTCACTATCTACAAGGTGTGCTGAAAACAAACCTACGGATATAGATCTTGTTTGTCCTTTGCTTAACCACTGTGCAGGATCATGTTCGGAAATACGATGATAAACCTGCCTAATTGTAAGCCCGATGTAGATGGCTCCTCAGCTGCAGTCAGATTGTTAGATACACATAGAAGAGGCACATTTAGGTAGTTTATCCTTATTACTCGAACGTAGAATAGGGGTTGTTGTGAAGAGACAACGTACCTCTGCTGCATAATAAGCTCTTTTAACTGCATTCTTCAGGTAGTCGCTGTGTTAGTATTTCGCTGACGTTGTCACTGAAGAACTGCAGTTTTGTGAACATTGGTTGTTTCGGAACTGTAGCCATAGTGACTGTCCTAGGTGATGAATTCATATTTTTCTCAATGAATTTATCTGGATAACCATTTTTCCTAAGTAATTCTGTAATAATCTTAAGCTCCTCATTGAAGCAGTCGTCTGAACAGGTTAACCTAGCTCTATAAACCAGACACTTTACCAGGTTACGTTTATATGTCAAAGGTACAAAACTCGAAAAATGAGTGTACTGACATGTTGTAGTAGGTTTCCTATACATACTCCTTCTTAATGTGCCATCTTCTTTCCTTACCAGGAAGACGTCTAGGAATAAGATATTGTAATTGACTTCTTTCTCTATGGTGAAGTTTATTGCTAAGTGCGCATCATTAAACTTTTCAAGGATATTCATTGCATCATTCTCGTTTTTCATGACCACAAATGTATCATGCATATATCGACAGTAGAATTCCAACTCATTAATTACTCCTTTCAGTGGTCCATTCTGTAATTTAGCTAGGAAAAAATCGTCTAGGATTGAACCTAATGGGGAACCCATTGTAGATAATCTTAAAAGGCGACTTCTGTCGGAGCTATGTAGCTTGAGTTTCCCCAAGTGGTCGAAAATTGAGGTAGTAATTTTCTTGCATTATGCTTTTGCTAACCACCATACCGGATAATGTTCATAGATGCGTTCGGCAAGTGTGCGCTTTATGCGGGCGGGCGGCCAATAGAACTAGCTCCACACAAGCAGGTGAAATGGCCCAAACTTGCAACAGAAGCAGCAGGAGTTTATACTTCACACATCCATCCATTGATCATTTGTCCCCGCTGTACAGATTGATACGTAGCTTAGCCGTGTAAAGAAGGCTTTCTTCAGGGATCTGCATAATGACTTAATGGATATTTTCGGTAATTTATGCTCATATGTTATTCAGCTAATAAAAGGATCTAGATTTAATGGAGAAACATTTCCTTTCAATTCGATCTTCGTCTATGGATCTACTCTAATAATGATATATATATGGCAATGTTATCACAACACGGAAATTTATTAATCTAGTAGTGTCAAGTTTGTTTTAACGGTTATCAGTCAGTATTAAAAATTGTCAAGAAGTTGGAGGGGTGGGGTGATAATTAACCAAAAAAAATCAATACACACAATTTTTGAGGGTAGAACACATTTACAAACATTAAACAAGGTGAATAATGCAATGTATAATTTTAAGAAAAAATAAGAATAGTGATCAAGAAATAAATGACTGACTGACCAAGGCTGATGACGTAACGAATGATTAAAGATTAATTTTTGTTTTCAAAAGACTGGTTACTGAGCAGAGAATATTCTTTTGGATAACCTGCTCTTCATTATCAGGTTCTACAGTTATTTATGCATTCATAATAGTGAATGAATCAATAAATAGTGTTATTAACAACAACATTAATGTTGTCTGAATAACATCGAATCAATAATAATAATAGCTTCTGCTGTTTGGAATATTCGGTACCTAGATATTTTTGGCTATTTATTTGGTGCTCCATAGATGATGATGATGATGGAGAAGGATTCTTCAATGTTGGTTGGCTTTCTGGCCGGACGGTGGGTTTCGACCAGGTGGTCTAATAACGAGCTGTTAATGGATTTTACTACACTTTTACTTAATCACAATAGTAGATGTGTTCCCAAAAACAACATTATGAATTGTGACATAATGTGTAATTGGTTATATGATTTGTACGGTAGTTCATGAAATGGTTCAACCTCAAAGGGGGGAGGTGTAGGAATAATAAACTGACTTACTAGGGCAATTAAAGCATTTACCCTCTAAGGTGATAATAATTGCAAAGCAACATTACCAATAAAACAGTGACTTATCGGTCTACTGAATCGCCTTGTAACCATAAGGTCTTGGGTTGGACTCCTGGCGTTGGTTGTGTACTCATGACTCGTGCCAAACGAGTTTTCAAATGATACTCTAACCGATGTAAATTTATGATAAAATCCTGTAACCAATCAAATCCCTGCAAACCAACACCTGATTTGAATATCATTCGGATACACACTAGCGACTGATCCTATTCAGGTAGGTGGTTACCTGGGTTCTAGTGGCTAGTCGTGACTAACCAGTGAGGTATAGCAGATCGGGTGTGAGGACAAATGCTAGCCACCAATGAAATTCCTT